TCTTACTACCCTGACTAATTAAATTCATGAAGAAATTTCGTTTTTTGGATTCTCCGTTCACTGTGGAGGTATGCAAGAAAAAACAAGATTTTCTTCACGAATTCAACATGCGGCAAGGAACTGATATACAAATGGTCATTTTGTGGGTGAAGTATTCCTTTAACAAAAGGATCTAAATACTTGTTCCACCAGTGGTAGAGAGGTGTGCCAGTTAGGATTTGCTGTAGGATCAAGTCTTTCTTTATCTCCAGTATCAACACAAAAAGGTTCAGGAGCAACTTTCAACAGCAGTACTTTACAGATAGGTTAACCTACAGCCATCCCATTAAAATAAAAAGGAGAATGACGGTACTATAGGGAGTGGGTGGGACCCTGTCTTTCTCCTGCACAGGGCCCATTGTCCCATAATCTGTCCACGGTCATGTCTGTCCTTTAGTTGTTCTTTCCCCTCCCAGTGATTTTGAGAAATGAGAGAGTCAAGGCAGGTTCATGCACATCTGGAAAACGAAGCATGACTTGGGAAAATGAATGAAAGCAACTGACTTGTATTTGTAACAAATGATGCATGGGTCCCTGCAGGGATATCACTGGGACAATATAAAACCACAGCTGAAACTATTAGTCCAATAACTGATTAGTCAATCCACAGAATCAATTATTCAACTAATTGTTGGAAGTCATTTTAAGGCAACAATTTTCAGTCTCCCTGCTCCAGCTTTATGTTGGTTTTCTTTGTCCTTCCTGACACTGAACTGAATGTTAGTTTGGACTGTTTGTTGGACAAAAGAAGCAGATTCATAATGTCAGCTTGGCTTTGGGAAATTGTGACGATTCTATTGCAATTTTTTTCTGACAGGGACCACACAAAACAACTTAGGTTTTCTCCTTAAGTATAACACTTTATGCTTAATTTTTCCTGAGTTGAGGGACTTACACTGTTACACAGAATCCCTTAAAAGGTTAAAAGAAATTTTACAGCAGAAAGTTTCCATGAAGATTGTTTGTTTGCTTGGACTCATGCTTGTGATGCTTGTTATCGTCTCCTACAAATGTAACAAATCTGTGGTTTGCAGAGACATACAGTGCCAACATTTTTCTGGTGATTGGGCTGAATATAAATAATGTAATCAGAATGCTTTTAATTTTGATATTTTTATCTGCTAATACTGTTGTACAGGGGTGTAGCACCATAGTCTGGGCCCAATGCATAAGTACTCTCTGTAGGCCCTGTGCCCTTTCTCTCTTGTTCCATTTTTTTTTTTTTTACAAAGTCTTTCTTTCTTTTTTGGAACCCCAATTTTCCTTTCTTGGGGAAAGACATGACAGTGTACGTTGGTGCTCCAGCAGCATAAGCAACCACTCCCTTGGTTCTAGCTGCGTTTAGAGCAAATCTGAATTACGACCGAATCACAATGTTTATTTAAATAACTTTCAGGTAGAACTTTTCTTGTGTCATTATATATTAAAATCTAACAGTGCTGTTTGTGTTGTTTTTAACCACTACCAGACAGTAAATGGTAAACAGTAAACAAAACCAGTTTAAGTGTACCCTATATTTAGAATATTTTCACTGCTATACCTTGCTGTCAGTCTTTTCTAACAGATAACTGAAGCGGTTATATTAAAGCCACCAGATTCCACTGACAAAAAATATTCAAATACAGCGTACACTTACACTGATAGTGATTTTTTTAGGTGGCCAAAATACATTTTTGCTGCAGCCCAATCCACAGCAGTGCATTGTTTAGCTTCCATGCCAGTAGACTTGGTTTTATCAAATATAATAACAAAGGACCAAAGTAGATTAAATAAGCACAGCAGAAATGACAGACACGCTGGACTACTGTGTTTAACTATATGTCCTTAAATGTTACAGCTGAAAATGAAGGAAATCAAGAAGTTTGTCAATTTTAGTTGGCCAATATCTCCACAGTTGTAATCAACTGCCTGTTTTCTTCCTGGAAGTGATTGTTGTTGTTAGAGCGATGTCACTGTGACTCAGTCTGGGGTCGGACTAAACCATTTTCTTCAAGGGGTAAGAGTTCAAAGTTCAAAGTTCAGTCTTCAACTGATTTATTCAGACAATTTTGATTTAGTCGTGGCACCAGGGGCATAACTATAGACAGTGTAGGCACTGCGGTTGCACTGGGGCTCATGGGGTAGGTGGACCTTGCAAGTGATTCAGCTTGCCACCTCAGAAATACGCCTGTGTTCAAAGAAGAGCTCACATTGAAATACAAATGCTGTCATCTGCTATATATGCCCTTGAGAAGGCAAACCCCTTTCAGTTTGTGTATCTTTTGTGAAATGTTAACAAAACTACAAACAAAATTATGTATTTATTTGACATAAACCAGTGGTTTTCAAATGGTGTGCCAAGGCACACTGGTGTGCCCTGATGCAAATTCAGGTGTGCTGTGGGATATTGTGATAACCACACATTATTATTGTAATATTCAACTGGGCCTATACAAAAAGTTAGGAATTCATTTTAAATTTTATTTTAATTTTTAATCAGTATATTGTGAGCAGGCATTTCCCAATAAAGAGGCAAACACTACCTAAAAAATTAATTTAATTTAATCTAATTTCAAAAAACGTTCACGGGGAACCTATTTATTGCCATTCGCACGAGGGAATTATAAGTGTGTAACACATCACATTATCTTACATTATCTTATTTCCTGTTTACATGGATGTGTTATTGGTGCTTTGATGTAATATTTAAAAAGCTTAAAATGAATTGTTGAATCATTTTGTTAATAAATATTTCATGAGTAATAGTTGGTTGTAAATTGTTATTTGATATAAAAACAAACAACAACAACAGTCTTGATAAGAGAACACACGTTATATAAGCTGTTGTGCACAGATATAAATACAGGTGTGCCTTGATATTTTGGCTTGCTCTTTGGTGCGCTTAGGCACAAAAAGTTTGATAGTTTTCTATCCATTTTCTAACCGCGTATCCTCTTGAGGGTCGCAGGGGAGCTGGAGAGGGGCGAAAGGCGGGGTACACCCTGGACAGGTCGCTAGACTATCGCAGGGCTGACATGTAGAGACAACACTGATTACCTACGGATAATTTAGAGTCACCAATTAACCTGCATGTCTTTGGATTGTGGGAGGAAGTTGGAGCACCCGGAGAAAACCCACACTGACAGTGGGCGAACATGCACACTCTGCACAGAAGGGCTCCTGCACCCGGGATCGAACCAGGAACCCTCTTGCTGTGAGGCGACAGCAACCACCACACCACCGTGCCACCCGTAATTTCTTATTTTATCTGGTATTTTTGTCATATATAGATTTGCAGTAATGACCAATCAGTAATGATTGGTAATATGTTTGCAGATGTTGTCAACACCAAGTCTGTACTTGATCATGTGACGATCTATACAGTAGCTGTTTCGACACAAAATCTGGCACTGAGGCCCATCCTAACTACCAGATGCCATTGTGTGGCACTAATTACTTGGAAATAAAAAATTGTGAACAAAACCAATCATTCCATTATTCCTTGGTTTTTAAGGCCAGTCCCCTCCTACTGGAGCCCTGGGCGGTGGCATGGGGAAGTTACGACAGGCCTCAGTGCACACTATAATGACGGGCCCTGATGCAAGCTGTTGTGCATGTATTGTCTTGACACAAATAGAGACTTGACATTGGACAACATCAACATACATATTACCCAGCAATCATCACTGCATAACTGACAAAAATAGTAAGAAATGAATCATTCAATTGAATAGTTTTTATTTATTTATTTTATTTTATAGCTTGTGTATAAAAGCATATCATTGTTTTTAGATGGCTACTGACTATTTAAAAAAAAAAAGAGAGAACCACAGATGGGTTTGCCTTTTTGAGGACATGCACAGCAAATGGCACCATTTTTTAACACATTCTCACTCCGACGCTGTCACATATCAATGTTTGGTCATGGACTTTCCACACTGAGATATGTCATGCGTTGGTTGTTGACGTGTCAACTTCAGCCTGTTACATGCATTGTATTCTTTCAAATTACACTTGCATTTCCCCAGGAAATTTACCCTTTACAAATAGTCTTTAAAAATAAATGCACTATGTTAGCACAACAACGCAAATTGACGTTTTTTTCCCTCAACAACTAACACACATAGTTGGGCTGAGGAAAAAAGAACAGGGTTAGGGTTTGGCTTTGGGACGCGAACACTGCCTTCACGTGTGAAAGTCTGTGTTTGTGGACCCATCCACCACCCATCCTGCCCGTTAAAAAACACCTTTTTTTGCCAGTGTCTGATGCCGGAAGTCACTGCCCAAGCGCTGGATTTCGATGACTTTGGAGTGACACTGGGTTGAATTTTTAAATTAATAAAAAATTTCAAAAAATAATTTATATTAACAGGCATATTTCCCAGGCAGTCTGAATCACATGCAAGGGCCTGCTTTCTCTGCGGGCCTCTCCACCCGAGTGGTCCTGGTGCAATCGCACTGCCTGCACTGTCTATAGTTTCACCCCTGGCCCTAGGTAATCCCCCCCCTTTGCACGCCCATGCTGTTGTACTTCTACTTCAGGTACATTTTTTTCTTGCAGGACTTTCAATAGTGTACATTTACTTTGGCCTAAATAAATATCTTAATACTTCTCCCACCGATGAATAAATAAATATATACTGGAAACTTGTCATTGTGGCCAAGAGTGAAATGTGACGATATGTTAAAGACTAAAATTTTACTGTCAAATATGGGTTGTGGGGGAATCATGGATCTCAGTATCTAGACACCGCCCCGGTGAGCCCCGTGTGAGCTGTAAACCCTCCGGTGATCTCTGTCACTGTATGACCGGGAATGAGCTCTGTGGAGCCGCGCAGCAGCTCTCGGTCCTCCCTCCCTCCTCCTCTGCTCCTCCTCATTGTACCGCTCACCGGGAAATACGGTGGGCAGGACTGAGCGCGAGAGAGAGAGAGAGAGAGAGAGAGAGAGAGAGAGAGAGAGAGAGAGAGAGAGCAGATCTCTCCACGACGCTCCACCGGTGCACCACGGGGTACGCATTCAAACTGACCAGCGCGTCTCTGTGAGCTCACACACTGTCCTCTCTCCACATCCATCACCGAGCAGCTTCACTGCAGTTGACCGCACGAGCCGGTAGGTTGGTTTCCTCTTCATTCATCTTTTAGGTGCATTTATGCAGAGGTGTCTTCTTCGTGCACGCGACACCGGAGCAGAGACTTGCAGGGCTGTGTATTCCCGGGTGCATTCCGGCTCGGGACCCTCATCTGAATGTCCAAATCTGAATTTTGCTCCCATGTTAGGGGGTCTCTGCGGTCGCCTGAGTGTAGCCTGGATTTTAATACAGGCTTGCATTCCCAGATAGACGGCTTTCCTGCAGGGCTCACCGGAACGCTTTTATGTCAGATCAGATTTCAGTAGCACCACATCGAAAAGGGCAAAGTCTCCGAGCACGGTACAGGCTGGAGAGGCTTACTCAGAAAGAGACAGTTGGTGCAGCCTGTGGGACCAAAGTTTTATTAGTTGAGTTAAACAAAGCTTGGAAGAGGCTGCAGAACCTTAAGAGTGGAGGAAAGCTTGTAAAAAATGTGCACGAAGCTGATAATTGACTGAGCACTTTGATAATTCAGCTTAAAGGATTTAATGTCTGATTTTAATTAAGGTTTGCAAAATTCTGCCTGCAAAGTAATTAATTGAAACAAATTGTGTGTGAATACATTAAAGGTGAAATTGGCAGTAACGTAAATTGAATAGCACACACACAGAGAAAAAAAACAACATTTTTCCCCATATTTTTTACCATCTTGGTTGAATGTGTCTTGTATTATTTATCTAAATGGAATTTTCTGAACTCAACATATTTCTCAGGCTCCAGATCACACCAGCACAATCTCTAACATTTCCACACCATGCACAAAACAGATAGGCCCACTGTAATACAACAGCACACTCAGATGCACTTTAATTTTCTGTGTGTGTCCATATGGAGCAGAAAACGAGGGAATAAGCAGAGGAGATTGCCACACTTTAATGTGACGGGCGCTTGTTAAATATGAGAATGTGCCTGAGAGGAGAGAGCATCAATCAGACAGCCTCTCCTCTGCTTCTTCATTTATCTAGAACCTTGCCAACATACCCGCCGTACAGTACAGGACTGTCTCTGCTCTATCTGTGGGACTGTTCTGGTCCATACTGCCACTGCTGCCAGGGGCTTTGTTTCTCTTCTCTTCTCTTGGATTACTGAACAAGGTAGAGGTCCATAGGATTTAGGGGCCCCTTATCTGGATCCTCTGTGATACTTGACTGTCCTTTATTTCTCTCATTTAAGAGAAGAACTCAGTTAATCGCAGATACCTAAAAGGTCCATCTGAAACATCATTGTCCATAAAGTCTGCATAGTGTCTTTAATATTTTGTGGCAGTGTGGACCATGATAAAAGAGAGTCTTTGTCACGTTAAGAAATAATGCATTGAATTAAAACATAATTCTGACTTGGCAAAATAAGCATTTAGATTGATGCATCTCATACCATCAATTGTTGTATTATATCTTTATTGGTGAGAGGACACAAGCATGGATGCAGATCTTTATGTTTGCTTCTTTGTGCACAGTTTTGTGTTTCATTTAAAAAAAATTTAAAAAAAGATAATTCTACATCATTCTAAAAGCATGAAATGGTACAGGTGGTCAGTCTATTTAAAGCAACAAGTTATCGGTTCTTGAGTTTGAGTGGATTACTTAATGCTATAAATGATCTGCACTTCACCTTTGACATAATAATAATAATCATAATAATAATTGTTATATTTTTATATATATAAATATTTGTATAAATATATACTTGTGTGCTCTCTAAAAATGTAAAAATGCTCTGCTGCGGATTTAATAGAAAACCAAGAGATGGTAGTGTTCTGCCAGGGGATATGTCTTGTATGCCTGAAGAAGGTCTATGACTGAAAGTTTGTGAATGTATTAACTAGGCATTTACTTGAAAATGTTCCTTGTCATTGAAGATAGTCTCATTAATTGTTACAAGCTCTTGTAAGAACAAGAAGTGTGTGTAGACTCATAGCCATTCTCTGTGTAATGCATGCTGAGGACTGTCGTAATACTATAAAATACACAGGTGTTCCCTCGGACATGGAAAACCTGGGAAAAAGAATGGAATTTCACAGTCACATTTTCCAGGCCTGGAAAAGTCATGGAATTGGTAAAAATCATTGAACTTTTTGGAAAAGTCATGGAATTTTGTTGTGTTCAATGAAATTGTTACACTAATCTTCCATAGATTATCTTCCATGCAAAGTAACATAACAGAAAATGTATTTTCAGTAGCTGTCAAAGTAGTGTAGCTCTAATATGTGTCAGTGTGTGACACTGTTTTGTTTATCATCACATACGTTTCTTCTCCCCGTCTCTCTCTCCAAGTGCCAGCAGGCTGAAATTATGTTTGAATAGAGTTTGAATCTGATATGTTGGAAAAATGCAATGAA